TTCAGCCAAGACATGGTCTGCCCAGTTGTAGGTTTAGCGTCAAAAACTGGTTGCAACAATGGCCTCAGTAGCGGTTCTCATCAGTGGATCATTTTTGTTCAGGTTTGACTTTCATGGCATGTGTGATGTCGTGCTGATTGATGTGCCCAACTTTGCGAAGCATCTCTTCTTGGACATCCATGTCAAGACCAAGATCCGCTGGAATTACTCATCCATTGAGGCTGCAGCTCTTAATAAACTTGACCAAGACCTTATCGAAGGACTTCACAAGTTGCCGCCGAGGTGCAAACTATCGAGGTGCGGATTTTGTGCCACCGAGGTACGGACCCTAGAGGTGCAGAGTCTTTTGCCCGACCCCGCAGCAGCTGCAGCAACCACTAGAGGTGCAGAGTCTTTGCCGCCGAGGTGCAACCATAGAGGTGCGGATTTTCTACCACCAAGGCGCGGACCCTACCGGTAGAGGTGCATAGTTTTTACCGCCGAGGCACGGACCCTACCGGTACTAGAGGTGCGGATTTTGGCCGCCGAGGTGCGGAGGTGAGACCCTGGAGGTGCGGATTTTCTGCCACCAAGGAGTGGACCCTATCTTTGCCGCCGAGGTTTGGACCCCAGACGAGAGTATCAGTATCAGCACCTTGAAAGAATCTGGTGTCCATCAGGATTGAATTCATTCATGCTGGCAAATGCCCCACATTTTGGAATTTGCAGTGGGATCATGGGATTGTTCGGGGGCACATGGTGGCTAGGAATGACACTGCTCTCGCAAAAGGTGTCGAAGCACTTGCTGGCACTTGAATCACTGGTACCATCCCTGACGGCCTTTGTGGGATTGACTATCTTATCTTTGGTTGCGCTCCAACTCTGTGCGGCTGCATTTGCCCTTGCCACGTGTCCTAGCTGAGATGTGTAGAGCTTTTTAGCTGAGTTGTCTTTGGACTACAACCCACTTCTCCTAGTTAGTTGTTGAAGGAGTGTTAGTTGCCCGAAAGTTGGAATTTCAGAGAGCTGGCCCGTGTGTGTAACACAGGCAACAGATTGCAAACCCAAACTCCGATTGCCGCTGTGGACCCAGTGTGCATGCGAACAAGGATTCCCAACGTATTACAAGATGACACTTACCCACCACCCTCCTCAATAAGACCCACCAAGACCCCCGGCAAAACAACACAACACCCTCACACATCCCCATCAAGCCAACAGTCCTCTCGATCCAACTCTCCAACGGGCCAGCTCCACACATTATAGCTCAAGCACACCACCAACTAACACATCAGCCACCTACCCTTCCGGGACACGTATCCCCCATCAAATCCTCCCACATTGCATTCTCCGCCCACCCGCTCGTCTGCCGCCACTGGCCAGTCTAGCATCCGCTTATCAGAATGGAGTTTCCTAACTGCAATCGCCCATCAAATTCGCCAAAGGCGCTGTTCTCCTTCCGAATGGCAACCACTTACTTGGTCCACGCATGTGGATATGGCCATACTAGCTGGCTCTGTGCAAACGACTGTGGTACGCCAAACAATATTACAAAAAAGCTCGGTACGTACTAGAGTACGCAGTTATCTTTACTACTAAATTTTTCCTCGAGCCTCGGCAATTGCCAAGAGAACGTCGGCAGCTGCTTACCCTACCTGGTCCATTTTGTATCCACCTTCTTGAACAACTAGACACGGCATGCCCTTGCTGCTCAACTTGCAACCACTCAGTCGTCCCATGGGCTTGTAGTCATTGGGCCCCATGGCAAATCCAGCTCGACGCAACGTGACGGGATCGCCTTGTAATGTATCCAACCCCATGGATACGACCAATGCTTGAGCTCCAAATTCGCCAAATATCTTGCTCAGGCTACGTTCCAATGCTGGTTGATAATGATCGGTCCAAGTAGCTCCTGGTTTCAATGGTACATGAAACGTGGCTTTTCCTTTTGCGTTTTCGTCCTCAGATCCACTGTGAAATGGATAATCGTAATCCGGATGACAATGAATGGAACAAACCATGACATCGCCTCGGTCATAAGTCAATATCCAGAATGGCAACCTTGTCGTAAGTTTGGCGCAAGACCTGCGCTGCATGAGCTGCTTGATTGAATCGGGAGCGCATAGACCACATCATCATCAGATTCTGAAGAAGACTGCAAGAGTTGGTCAAATATTGGAGTGCATGTATCAGTGCAATAGTACCCAATTTGTCCCATGACATTGCGACTGGGTCGTTGGTCGTTGGTTGTTGTCATGTGGAAGAGGTGTATTGCCGGGTATGAGTGCAGGAATGTTGCTGGTGGTGGTGTCGGTGGTGTCATTGTCATTGTCAATAGATCTAGAATCGGCAGTTTTCGCCATCAAAGAAGCCATTGGATCTCTCCCTGCATCTCCAAGGTCGCTCCAATTTTGCCAGGCACTTTGAAAGAATTGCAGCAATGCCACATTTTGAGTATCCTTGTACACTTCACTCAATGGTATGTTACTGGGAGCAGAAGGTTGTTGAAAGGCAACCCGAGTCCCATCGTTATTGCCAGAAGCGTCACGGAGGGCCTGAAGATTAAAGTCATCCAGGGCATCCAAACGGGCGTCGGCATTGGAGATTACCAGTGGTGGGATATCCGTGTCATTATTGCTGGTAGTCTAGTTTTAAACTGCAAGTCGGCAGGAGTGATTCCGGATACCGTACTACCACAACTCTCGGCAGTGACTGCTGGTCCCTGGTGCTACCAAGGACCGGGAGTAATAACAGTATTGGTACCATCGGCCATGTATGTCGTTAGCGGTGGAAGAATCGAATCGAATCGAATCGAATCGAATCGAATCGAATCGAATCGAATCGAATCGAATCGAATCGAATGATGAATCAGCCAACCCATCCGTTGGCTGTGATGTCCGCAATCGGCCGTGAAAGAAGGAGTCAGCGGAAAAAAGTGCATTTTCTTGGTGCATTGACACCCAGGGAGTTGAAGTTGAGTTGAAGTTGTTAAATCCTGGAATAACCATTTAGCAAACGTTACTTATTGCAAAGAAGCAGTTCACTTTCTCGAAGCCTTATTGCACGTCATTGTACCCGTTTCACACTTAAATTTTTGGACAACACAAGACTCAGATTGGAAAATGGTTTGGGCTCACATTTTCAAGGAATTTACACCCCAAAGCCATGATTGAATCGAATCATTCAATCAGCAACACCTGTCATTACCGGTACCGCTACCAAAACTCCAGGACCACAGGGAGCACATTGAAATGATTTGAAAAGCCGAAAGTTGTATCATTCTTTAGAAACACCATCCCTTGTTTGGTCAGTGCATATCTTACCTTCAATTTTAGAAGCCCTCCAGTGAAGATTCATTGGTCCCAATAAGCTAGCTCCACAATGGGAATTTCCCCATCAAGCCACTGTCAGCACCACGGCGATTCAGGAAGACTAAAGAAAGTGTAGCTTTAAAGCAAGTTAGTTCTTTTATAAGTAAGTGAGTGGGGTGTGAGTTGGGTGTGAATTGGGGTGTGAGTTGGGGTGCATTGGGTGTGAGTTGGGGTGTGAGTTGAAGGTGAGTTCCCCCCAGTGGAAAGTGCTTTCTAGTGCAGAGCAGTGCAAGAGCAGTGCAAGAGCACTGCACTTGCACCAAAACACTGCACCTTTTTCCACCCACCCTGAAAGAAGTCATGGCTCTTGTTACGTCTCAATGAGACGACGCACCTTTTGGTTACCCCCTCAGTTGCACTCTGAAATCGATTTGCCGGCGTTTACTGTGGAAAATAGAGTAGCCGCACTTCAGTTGCAGAATCAATGGTCATGTGCTTCGAAAGATTTAGATCGATTCGTGGATAAAAAGAACCATTGAAGTTACTAAGGTTAAGGATAAACTGATTGCCTGCACATGCAGGATAAACCGATCGTCCCTCAGTCGAGCGAAAGTCCATTATTGAAGGCGCAGCACTGACTTCTCTCCCTCATTGAATTCGTATGGTACACAGGAGGTAAATCCAAGCTTGGCCGACAACAATGCATGGTGAGTGCTTTATCCAATCGGCCGATCGATCGAATCGATTCGAGGTAAGCCTATTATCAAGAGTGTTAAACCAAATCCATTGTTGAAGGTGCAGCACTGACTTCTCTCCCTCATTGATTGCTATGGCAAACAGGAGAGAAATCCAAGCTTGGCCGACAAGGATGGTGTTGGAACGATCAATCGAATGGATCGCAATGAGGTAAGCCTATTATCAAGAGTGTTAATTGAAGTACAGCGCTGACTTCTCTCCCTCATTAATTCTATGGTAAACAGGAGAGAATTCCGAGCTCGGCCGTCAACAGGTGAGTTGGTTTTAATTATTCGAATCAATCGATCGCACCTCTATTATTATCCAAGCCGTCCTTCTCTGGTGCAGAAGCGAAAGCCATCCCTCATTGAATCCTATGAACCGTGGGATGGCAGTCAGTTCTCGGCCCATGACGGCCAAGTTGGTGCAATTTGAAAAACAATAGTAAATCTCCGGTCGTCTGCAGTTGAGCACAGAAAACAAAACTCATATCTATTTGTTGTTTTCTCTGCTGCACTGCTGACGGCCGATGAACTACCATTGTTGAGTCCTTTTCGAACGAACGATTGACTGCTACGGATACAAGAGGAAGAAGAGGCTACCGCTACGGAGGTATGTGTACGGAGGAAACTGTTAACTCCAGCCCTACCAACAGCATGAACGAACGTCATCGAGTCATTGAAGAGGCAACAGTTAACCGGAGGAGGCTACACGACAACGCACAAAAGCACAGAGGAGAGTGGATCCTACTACTGGATTCATCCCTCCAGTGTTATTTCCTTGTGATTTGGTGGTGATTCCTGTGTCGGCACCCATTTTTCTGTATGCACAAGTCCTCGGGCGAACAACTTGCTTCTTTCGTAAGATAATAGATCATCGAGTCGTCGACTCATTGAAAGGGAACAGGAGCAAGGCTAGCTACTCGACAACACACAAGAGAGTGGATCCTCCTACCGGATTCATCCCTTCTTGTTATTTCCTACTGTTTTGGTGGTGATTCCTGTGTCGGTACCCATTTTCCTGTATGCGCAAATCAAGTACTGTTGCCACTAGCTATACGGCAGCTGGCTACAATGGCTGGATTGACAATATTCCGTTGTGCGTGTATTCGTCATAAGGATCCAATGCGAGGTAACCGAGTGCAGCGAGCAAAGTCGAACCTGCGTGTGTTCGGTACTGTTGCCACTGTCACCGATCGATGAACTCTACGATAGCTGGCTACGATGGCTGGATTGACAATGTTCGGTTGTGCATGTATTCGTCATAAGGATCCAATGCAAGGTACCGGTAACGGAGTGTAGCCAGTAAAGCGGAACCTGTGTGTTCGGTACTGTTGCCACTGTCACGGATCGATGTAACTCTACGGTAACTGGCTACAATGGCTGGATTGAGAATATTCGGTTGTGCATGTATTCGTCATAAGGATCCAATGCGAGGTACCGGTAACCGTAGCGAGCAAAGCCGAACTTTCGGTACTGTTGCCACTGTCGTCGATGTAGCTATACCGCAGCCGGCTACAATGGCTGGATTCATAATGTTCGGTTGTGCATGTATTCGTCATAAGGATCCAATGCAAGATACCGGCAACGGAGTGTAGCCAGCAAAGCGGAACCTGAGTGTGTTCGGTACTGTTGACACTGTCGCCGATGTAACTGTACGGTAGCCGGCTACAATGGCTGGATTAACAATATTCGGTTTTGTGCATGTATTCGTCATAAGGATCCAATGCGAGGTAACCGAGTGCAGCGAGCAAAGCCGAACCTGAGTGTGTTCGGTACTGTTGCCACTGTCACCGATCGATGAACTCTACGGTAGCTGGTTGTAACTGTTGGTTGAGGCAAAGGGATACAGGAGACGAGCGCTGAAAAAAACCGAATTTCTAAAGGTTTACATGTAGGGTCCGAGTTGACGTCATAGCTGAGAGACCAATAATTTGCACTGGTAGTATTATCATAAATAGTACTACTACTAGTACTGGTACGCTCAGGACAAGAAATTAATTAAGACTTTCTGAGAGGACGGTCTCAACATACCGGTATCCTCACCAGGTCTCTTCGCCATTGCTCTTTTCGGACTATCGCCTAATTCGAAAACATCAGCCTGATAAGTGGTTCTGGTCCATGGATTCGATTTGTATTGGTATCCACACAAGAAAAGATTTCCCTTGATACAGCTAACGTCAGCTACCTACTAAAAGTTAGTAGCTAGCCACCACTGGTTTATCGTTTCTGTTTTTCATTTTTTGGTTTGAAGCTAGCTAGAGATTGTGCTCACTATTTGCAGAAAGGAAAGTTTGCAGTTTTCTTTTTTCTATCCAAAACCACCTGGTTGCTTAATCATCCCATGAAGGTTCCATCTTTCTGCAGCATCGGCACTGCCATCCTTGTCCTCTTGGTGGTGGCAGCGCCCAAGTGTGTGCACGCCTCTGACCAATCGCTTGCCAATGAACGAGATGGCAATCTCCGTCACAAACTCAACCCTGTTCAGGCTACAAAGGCGGACATGAAAATGAAGGCATTTGAGGATCCACACAGGGAATTGAAACCAGTGTATGTTGAAAAGCCCAGCGTGATTGAGGATGCAGGAGCGGGCAAAGAAGCCGTCAAGCCAGCTAGCATGCCAGCAAGCGCACCAGTCACCAAACCTGCAAGTGAACCAGTCAGCAAACCAGCCAGCAAAACAGTCAGCAAACCAGCAAGTGAACCTGTCAGCAAACAAGCCAACGAACCTGCCAGCAAAGATGACAGCAAACTAGCCAGTGAACCAGCCAGCAAAACCAGCAGCAACCAGCCAGCGAACCAGCAAGCGAACCAGTCGGAAAACCAGCCAGTGAAACAGTCAGCAAACCAGCCAGTGAACCTGCCAACAAACCAGCCAGCGAACCCATCAGAAAAGATGACAGCAAACCAGCCAGTGAACCAGCCAGTGAACCAGCCAGCCAACCAATTGGCAAAGCCGCCAGCATCCAGCCAGCGATCCAGTTGGAAAACCTGCCAGCAAAACAGTCAGCAAACCCGCAAGCGAACCCGCCAGCGAACCAGCCAGAAAAGACAACAGCCAAAATGACAGCAAACCGGACAGCACAGACGACAGCAAGCAAGACAGTAAACTGGCTAGTGAACTAGTCAGTAAAGCCAGCAAAAATGACAGCAAAAATGACAGCAAACCAGTGAGCAAGGATGACAGTGATGATACAGGATGAAGCAGCGATGACAGCAGCGATGACAGCAGTGTCGACAGCAGTGACGACGGTAAGGATGATAGCAAAGATGACTCTGAAGCAGCCAGCCAAGTTGATCTTCAGGATGATAGCGAAGATGACGCCAAACAAGACACCAAAGCAGCTAGCAAGGATGACAGCCAAGACAGCAGCAATCAAGACACCACACCAGCCAACCAAGAAGACAGCCAAGACGATAGCAGCACTGAAGACGGCAGCCAAGACGACAGCCAAGAAGACAGCAGCCAAGCCATCAGTAAAACAGACCTCGTGAAGACGCGAATATGCTCCAAATGCAAAAACTATTTCTCACTGTTTTCTGAAACCACGACATTCGCAACAAACTATGAGTCCTTGTTTCGTAGTGCGCGAAACAAATGTCAGTCATGCTTGAGAAAGATGGATGATCATTCAGACACTTTGACACACTTTGATGGTGATGAAAGTTTGGTGGTGTCAATCTTGGAGACGTTTAGAGTTGAAGAGTTCTTTACGAGAATGGTTTCTCTATCAAAGCTTGGTTTTGACGGAAAGGTTGCCATGTGGGGGGAGGATTCTGAGGATGATAGCGAAGATGACGCCAAACAAGACACCAAAGCAGCTAGCAAGGATGACAGCCAAGACAACAGCAATCAAGACACCACACCAGCCAACCAAGAAGATAGCCAAGACGATAGCAGCACTGAAGACGGCAGCCAAGACGACAGCCAAGAAGACAGCAGCCAAGCCATCAGTAGAGAAGACCTCGTGAAGACGCGAGTATGCTCCAAATGCAAAAACGACTTCTCGCTGTTTTCTGAAACCACGATATTCACAATAAAACATGAGTCATTATTTGGTAGGGCGCGAATATTATGTTCTTCATGCTTGAGCAAGATGGATGATCATTCAGACACTTTGACACACTTTGATGGTGATGAAGGTTTGGTGGTGTCAATCTTGGAGACGCTTGGAGTTGAAGAGTTCTTTACGAGAACGGTTTCTCTATCAAAGCTTGGTTTTGACGGACAGGTTGCCATGTGGGGGGAGGATTCTGAGGCGGCCCAATTGTACAGAACAAGAGCACAATGCCGAGAATGCTATTCCATATTGGAGGTGTTCCTCTCTGAGAGCAAAACTGAAACTATGCGAAGCGGCAGTGAAGCATGTTCATTCTGCCTCATGTTTGTGGATGACCACGCAGAGGTTGAGGAAGTGTTTGAAGGAAACACAGAATTCGTACAGTCAATATTTGATGAGTTTGGACACTCCTATTGGTTTCCTGAAAGAGGAGTTTCCGCATCAGGTCTTGGGTTTGAAGTCATGTCGGAGAAAGGCAAGCGCAGAACCATTTCCTTGTGCCAGACTTGCAAGGAAAGCTTCTCGAAGTCTTCTGACACCTCTGAATTCGCCAATGATTACCGCCTGTTGTTTCGGGTGGCTGCTGACCAATGCACTGTTTGTTTGTCTCGAATGGAAGATCATGCAGACACTTTGTCACACCTGGACGGTGATGAAGGTTTGGTGGTGTCAATATTGGAGGTTGTTGAAGCTAATGGGAGGCCACATGAAATTTCCCTATCAAAGCTTGGTTTTGAGGAGAAGGTCGCGTGGGGGGCTATGTTTGGATCTGAGGTTGCCCAAAGGACACACAGAGCCTATCTTTGCCAGCTTTGTTATGTCATTTTCGAGGCTTTCCTTCTCTCGGTTGATAATGGCTGGACCAAGCCCGGAGCACCAGATACCATGGACTGTGAAGACTGCGTGGAGGGATTGATTGATAATGCAGAAGCCACAAAGTTTTATGGTGACACAGGGGTGGCGCAGTTGCAGGATAAGTATGGAGAATACGAATCGAAAGTTCTTGTAGGAGAGTCTCCTTCAGATCTGGGCCTTTCTCGCATAGATCCATCAGATTTCGGGCTTGGTGGCTGACGCGGCTAGCAAGCTAGTCGTGACTCGGATAAATAGGTACAGCAGGAGCTGACTGTGCAAACTATCGAAATGATTGTTAAACGTACACACCTTTAGGTCGGAATTTATTTGGATCAGTCTGGAAGACTAGTTCGCGGCGTGCTCACAAGAAAAGGCTCCACGAGCGAGAGGTTTGGCGTAGTCGGCGAAAATGACGACAAGCTTGATGAACAGATAGAGTTGGGTGGTTGGTTGAGGGGTTCCTGAATAAAGCCGCTGCTTACCAGTTCACCAGTGAGATGCACTTCAGCGAAGAACCAAGCCGAACCCTCTCAGGTTTGTATAGCCTGGTAGAGGTGCGGACCCCAGAGGTGCGGATCTTGCCACCGAGGTGCGGACCTTAGAGGTGCGGAGGTGGTGACACAGGAGGTGCGGATTTTCTGCCACCAGGTGCGGACCCTACCGGTAGAGGTGCAGAGTCTTTTGCCGCCGAGGTGCATAGTTTTTGCCACCAAGGTTTAGGCCCTACTAGACGAGAATATCAGTATGCAGCACCTTTAAGAAGAATCTGGTGTCACATTTTGGGAAATTGCAGCGGGATCATGGGATTGTTCATGGAGGCACATGGTCGCTAAGACAGCTAAGCGAAGTCACAGTACTGCAGATCATCCGTCGATACACCTGGACCTCCATTAGGACTTTCACTTGGCCCAACTCCCTGAATCTACCCACATTGCAATCACCCCGAAACCCCAGTCCTAGCAGGACCAAAACCTAGTAGATCAGCATCAAAACCAGCACCTCGGCCTCGCCCAGTGGCCTCTACATTGTACCCGGATCCAGCTCCATCTCCAATGCTTGGATCATCGTCACCTGGGCCCACACCCAGGACCTCTGTGGAAACGTCATTCGTGGCAAAATACTTAAGAGACGATACACCGAGGAATAGGAGACGATCGAAATGATTTAAGAGACGAAAGCAATCGTCTCCTATATTTAAGAGACGATTCAGTAGGAGACATTACAATTAGGAGACGAAAATTTCGAAATAGGAGACGATCCGAAAGATTTAGGAGACGATACCATATAGTTTACATGATACACTTAGGAGACGATCCGTTGAGAATAGGAGACGATCCGTTGAAAATAGGAGACGTTTTAAGAGGAGACAAAAGATTTAGGAGACGATCCGTTTCGTCTCCTATTTTTAGGAGATGAAATCCATTAAATAGGAGACGATCAAAAGGATTTAGGAGACGAAAAGTAGCACGACTTGAGTTTCCACAGAGGTCCCGGGACCAACACCTAGACCAGCATCAAAACCAGCACATCGGCCTCGCCCAGTGGCCACTGCATTGTGCCCCGATCCAGCTCCATCTCCAATCTCCGGGGTCATCCCAATAACATCCCAAATCGCTGTCGCCTCCACGCGCACCCTACATACCGTACTCCTCCGCGCTGGCCATGAATGCTGCTACGAGCAGCTTCGATTTTGTTGATGCAAACGCGTGCCGACCTCCATGGTACACTTCTACTCGAGCTCTCGTAGAAGTGTACGAGAAAAGCTGGCACGCGTTTGAATCTTTAAAACCGAAGCTGCCTGTAAACAGTGAGATGCGCAGAGCCCTGAATAATTACAGCCCTGCTCACCAGTTTACCAGTGAGATGCACTCAGTGGAACAACGATCTCACTGGAGAGCTTTGTATAGAAAATGTAGTACCAAAACGCAGACATGGATCATTTTTCCACATGTTTTATTGCTCACCCCTAGCAGTCCTTATCTAGGTAAGGGAAGAAGAGTTCTTTCAAACACACTTTTGTTAATTGTTGAGAGCGATGGGAAGTGATGATGCGTGGATGAAACCATGAAAAGCCTGTCCGTAGCATGTCAATGGAGCGATCATTTAATTGATGACAATGGGACTATTAATTGCCCTGAACTGCCACAAACAATGCTCTGGACGTCAGTTGCTTATTGGGCTATTGATGATTTATGTGTTGTTGCATGCACCACGTCGCACCTGCGTAAATCTTAAAAAGCTCAGTCACCAGTCGCCACATCGCACTTATCAACCATTCAACTCCTACCAATTCTTTTCCTAAGAATTCTGGCAGGGCCAAATCCACCAAGCGCCTTCGTTTTCGGAGCCCCTCCTGAAACACACAACAACAACCAGAAAACTGCTTGCCATAATATTTTTGACGACCTGGTCCTCACACCCTCCGGTACGCTATCTCCATCCCAGTCGGTACTGGTACAAACACACACAATACGAAACAACCTACATCAGTCAAGCAACCATGATGGAAGAATACGACGTCTACGAAACAGTGGAAGATGAAGACTCTTCCAAGGCTTGGATCGCCTTTATAATCGAAAAAGATTCGGAAATATTAAAATTGACACGAAACGGCGAGATTATGTGGGCCGTCTTTGCGTCGCTGTGTGCCATGGTGGTTCATATGGGCATGGTGGTGTTTACCATGGCCCGACGCAAGCATTCCAGTGACGACTCGTGGAAATGGCAAATGATTATGAAACTGTGGACGGTCGGAGTGCACGTGCAAGCCATGACCTTTCACGTTCTTCCCGTCTTGACGCTCCTCCCCTTCAATCCTCTCCTCTGGTGTTTCATGGCGTACTTGTGGCTCGGGGTGCTCTTTCATCAATGGTCCCTGCTGTATCCAGAAGAAATCGCTCCAAAAGTTCTGACGGCGTCCGTCATTGTCGAGCCAAAACAACGGCGAATAAAAAAACAAGGCAGTCGCAGAAAAATTTGAATCCAATCGACTGCGCTGGTACTGAATGACGCTTCCTGTTTTTCATTTGCTACATATCCATTTATTTTTATCATGACGAGTTTTGTACATATTATTCCGCAGGACGCAACTTGGTTGGATACGCCCATCTCTCGACTCCTACTTCCACACTTCCACTCAACCAAACAGCGAAAACTATGTACTCGAGTATAATCTAATCCATTCGTTTATGTTACGTACATTCCTAGTCAGGACTTCTTCGGATGCAGAAGTCATTATTCAACGGATAAGCGGATTTTGGGAACCTCTGCAAATGTCCACCTCGTTGTCTCCGTTTTGGTGTTTCTTGTGCATTTCGAAGACTCGTTGAATGGTCTTCTTGGCCCAATCCAATCCAATGCCAACTCACAAATGGGTGGAGGCGTAATGCAAGGCTCGGTTTCTCCACAAAGCACGAAGTGTGAGCCACAAAAATGCCAGGAAACCGTCCCCAAATCTTAAGTTACTGCACTCTACTCTTGGCTTTCAAAAAACTGCCTTGGAAAGGACTTTCTGGTGCCTCCTGGAGCATGGCGGGCACCGCAAGACCCAAAAAACGGTATCATCAACAACTTGTTAGCAAATACTTTTTCTCATTTTCGTGTAGAACGTGTACGTTTCGGTGCAAACTAAAGGACATCGAATCGGTTTTCGTTGCTGATAAGGATGGCTTCTTCGGAGACGAGATGTACGGGTGGTTTGGAAGCAGCGCAGGACTCATGGGAGGGACGAATACACGGAAGAAAATGATGGCTCGTGATGAGTCCAAGCTCTTTCGGAAAGTCTCTTCTGCCACAAAAAGGCATCATCGTTTGTAATCAGGAGACCAACTGCAAAAGAAGCCTGCGAGCGAGACCACCCAGAATCTTTTATCTAGCTCTAGGGTTGATGGCTAAAGTTGATTTGGAACTTGCCGAAGCCGACGTCTCCGGAGTGACCAGCCACTCGTACTCAAACCTACCAGTACCGATGCTCCGGTATGTACTTGAGTGAAAGGACAGGGTCGACGGCCAACGAATCCACAAACGAACATACGTGTATAGCAGGAAGGAGTGTTGTAAAATGCACTCAAGGGTCTTGGGTTGTTTGATTGTTGTTCACTCAATAAATCTCCGGAACTCTCTCCGCTCGACGCTTCGACCAACACTTGCTTCGACCTGAACTCTTCCTCTCTGGCTCTTGACATGATTTCGATCCAATCCACTGGCCACGCCCTTCTTTGCCAATGTTGTGGAGTCTGACGGTTTGCAAGATCACAATGAAGGACTTTTGCGCATTGCCCAGCACCCTTCTTGGCATTGTTGAGAATTGTCTTTTGGGCTCTGGATTCGCGATCCTGTTGGCCGATGGATTGGTGGATATTAGTCCTACGTTACAGTTCATTCTTATTTTGTTGTGAGTTTGTACCAGCACAAAGTGTCATCAAATCATCTTATGTACCAGTCTATTTTTAGTTTCTTTGTGAGTTTGTCGTATGAAGCGTTCTCTCGAGCTTCTTCCCGCTAACATTCAACCTCTGTTGGACCAACCGACCACCTTTGAGACACAATGTCAATCTCGCCATACCAAGGCATCAGATCGTCAACATCTACTTCCTTGGGGCCATCGTGCCTTGGTGTTGGCGATGGCTTTGGAGGAGATTGGAGTGCACTGCTTCCCCCGGATCCTAATGCATCAGTTTGTTGCAGAGGCCCCATTACAGGGAGTTGCATGTGTTGTGCAATGGTCTTGTCTGGTTCTTCCTCGTCCAACAAGCTGGATGATTGAAGCCTTCCTTGTGATTTGGGATGTGATTTCTTGGAGTAAGAGATGTTGTATCGGCACAAGTACTTATCGTCGTCTCCATAAAATTTGAACTCGACCTGGGTCTGCTTGAGGGCCTTGGCCAGGGTGCAGAACATAGACCTCAACATCTCAATCACCTCCTCGTCACTCGAATTTTCATGAGAAGAGTTCAACTTTCCATTGACCTTCACCACTGGATCCTTGGAAGACTTGTGTTCGGTGCTCTCAATGCTGATCGTGGACTCCTGGGAGTACCCAACAGTGATGCGAATGCAGGGCTTCTTTTGTGTGATTTGTGCCATGGCCCACTTCTTCCAGACTCTGCCGATGACAGTGCGGCTGTAGATTCTACTGAGGTCATTGCCAACCTGGGGCTTGAGGGAGATGTATCCGCTGAAGCGGCGGACAGCAGAGGAATCAGTAAGTGATTCTTCCAAGGACATTTTGGTTGTTGCGATGTTGCTGTGTCTTGTTACTTATTTTGACTGCTGCACTGTGAGCTTGCTGTTCACTTTTTGTTTTGTTTTGTTTTGTTTTGTTTGTTTTGTTTTTCTTTGTTTCAATTGTGTCCCTGCTTCGTCATGGACTAAAGCACAAACGAAAAATTTGAGCCAGACTGCAAGGTCGGGAACCAGACTGCAATCCTTTTTTGACAGTTTCTCAAATGAGAAAGTACTTTCTCATTATTTGAGAAACTAAGTTCTGAAATGAGAAAGTTAGTTTCTCATTTGGTTGAAATGAGAAACTATCTTTTGAAATGAGAAACTATATATGAAACTGCTAGTACATGTGTTGTGATTTCTGCCAGAAATGAGAAACTATTTTATCAAATGAGAAACTAAACTGTTAGTTTCTCAAATTGAGAAACTAAAAATGAGAAACTAAAACTAAAAATGAGAAACTAAAACTGTTTGAAAAATTTCAAAACATCATGGGGGTTTCCGGACCTTGCTGGGACTGAGTGGAATACATGTAGATCGGCAGTCAGTTTCAACAAGGAGGTCTGTTTGGCTTCTGTGACTCGACTCACCAAGTGTGTCTACGCATAGCCAGATTGACTGTCACTCGACTCAATCGATCAAACAAAGGTAGTTCAGGTAAATATATGAATAGTTTTAAAATTCAACTGAAGACATATATTTACCAGATCTACCAGAATCAAAATCTGTCACCCCAGCATTCTCGTCATTCGTTGTTTGTACGAGCATTACGAAGTAAAATGTTTTGTTGAATTGCAATGCTCACAAGGTCGAATGATCGATTCAATCAGTTGGTGAATCTGCTTCGCTCCTTTTGGTTCAAACCTACTTGTGGTTCGAGATCAGTCCTCGGCCCGAGCAAATAGAATCAGCCAAAAGTCTAGTCCCCACAAACGAACCTGCGCAACAAATACTCTACATATTCCTTTTTCCATTTCCAATCCATGCCGGTAGCCCTTCCATGCGTAGTAATGGGATGGATAACGTTTCTTCTCGCATGAAGCAATAGCCCCCTTCTGAGGATAGGTCCTTCTTAAGTTTCCTCCAGGAGCCACCTATCTGTTGGGCTTTCGGCTTCAATTTTCAAGTTGCGGCTTCAGAAGGAGGGCCTAGCAAGAAGGATAGGCTCTCCCCAGGATTTAAAAACAGGAAATGCTCAGCTTGAAGCAAGATTTCGGTGTTCCACCCCTCATCCATCACCCGGCCCTTTAACCGGTCTTGTTCAAGCCAAGCGAATTCCCTTCGCCTGACCCAACACCAGCCCAGTCCGGCTGTTCCCACTCTCGGTCCCACGCAAGGATGTCACCTTGCCCAACTTTTGGCTCCACTCATGGACATAATCCCAGAGCTAAGCATGCACCAAGCAAACCAGACCATGCACCAAGCTTTCTTGCCCCACTCAGTAGAACTGGGCATCAGCCAAACAGCTTGTGGGTAGGACTACGCGCGCACCTCGGAGGGCTTACTTTCCTGATCGTTTCGGGCCGTGACAGCCACTGGGCCAGCAGCCCTCCTCCTCCATCACAGTTTCACCAAACAAGACTTCGCCGGTAAATACGAGCACACGAGAGCTGCCGTATGTGCTTGGTTGCCAGATCGGAAGAGGAGGGAGGCGCGTTGCCCTTTTCTCAACACCACCCATTGATTCGGTTTATAGACACATCCGTCCTCGTCGATGTCTACAGTGCTCTCACCGTTCCGTGGGAGAAGAAGGGACACAAACAACAGTCACCATGAAAGCATCTATGAAATTAGGCTATGAGTTCTGCGTGCCAGTTTGCAGACAACGTTTGGAAGATATTGGACCTGCAGTGGAAAGGTCCAGGAGATACAGTGGCGGGCAAACTGCGGCGTGGCTGCTACAGTAGTGATACAAGACATGGTACCGTGCACATTTCGGCCAGTTCATGTTCATTGAAAGAATTGCCAGAGCAGCGTTCTCGTGCACTTCTGCACCATGCACATTTCCCACAACGGCGAAACCACGAAAGCCTCAGGCTGAACCTACGAACCTACTGCAGCTTGTTTCAACATACAGGATGAACGAGTTCATTGCAGGCGTCTGTTTGACGGTCCTCTCCTGGATAGTCGAAAACAGTTCTCAATACGACGGCAATGAAAGCTGCCAGTTTGCAGTGAGCGCATTCTTTTCCCCATGGTGACAGCAAAGCAGTAATAAATTGTCAAAGCGGGGTATCAAGCGCATGAACCAGACACATCATGAAGTGCGCTCTCCCAGATGGGTCGTACAGTCACTGAATCAAAAAACATCCAACTCCAACTGCGGTAGCTTCTAAAAGCCAGACAAACAAGATAACCCGAAGTGGGATCCGGAAGCCTACCGCAAAAACCCTTTGTTCTGTGTCAAACATAGGGAAACCTGCTTTTCATGACATACATTGTGTAGAGTTCCATGACCACACGATCCAAAAGAAGACCAAGGTGCTACATGTAGTCGCCAAAGGGCAACACGAACCGAACGCCACTGGAGAAGGGGCTTGGACGCCACTGACCATGGGCTTCAATCTCCAAAAGTCAAAACAAAGGAGTTCCTGTGTGGCGTCTTGAGCTTTCTCTGCACAAACCGAAGTGTGATGCACTTTCTTTTCTACGGCTTCAAGTCACTTGGGCTCTCGCTGTCGCAATTTGGATTTGCTGGGACAACCCTTCTACCAGTACAAAGAATTGTCTAGACCTATGATAGTACTGGTAGTAAAATTTAATGACCGAACATAGAAGACCGTAGACTACTTACTTTGTACTGGTACATTTATTTTGTCACTGCGCTGGGTTCAATTCTGACGTGTTAAAAGTCAATACGAACCCTAAATGGGGAAAAACCACTACGAGTAATGCTGTGACTTTTGGACGAATTCTCGGGGATCAGGAGAATCCTCTGTTAAATAATCATTGGTTGACATCAGCACATGAGAGAACTCTACTTGTACTTACCAGTCAAAAAATAATCTTCATCCAAACCGCCAACCTGCCACCAAAGCGACCAAAGCTCCACCAATCAGTGCTCCAAACACGCGTACAGTATGAGAGCTGAGAGCTACTAGCACTAGTACACGAATAGGATTCCGAATGGTCTGAAAAGTAGCACATACATGTAGTATCATACATCTTCAATCTTCAAGTTCCGCATCCTGTTACATCCGACGATGGTTCAGCGGCTCACGCCAGGCCTTGAACCTTGAAAAAGAGTCGAGTCGAGTCGAATCCTGAACGGTAAAAAGTTACTATCAAAGTCTGCCTTTGAGAGGTGTTCTCTGCGCGGAGGTACGACGAATCTCGTACGTAAGTCTCGCCTCTACCGAATGCAACCTCTGGACTGTCAGCCATGGAGGAGGCAATACTAACTCTCCAGTGCCGGTACTACCATGGCCACGGTCTTCAGGGTTAAAGATTCAACCATGCCGCATCTAAAGAAGTGCCAAAATAAAAGAGACTTCCAAATGTGGCTGAGCTGGTATGACAGAGTTGATCTACGGAAACAAGTTTGGAGCTAGCAGTACTGCATAGACAAGTCTCAGACCTCGAGTCCGTCTCAGTCACTCATCAGTTCCCACTTAACTTTCTCAGTTTCTCAGTTTCTCAGTGTCTCAGTGGTTATTCTATCTGTTTACTGTTTACTGTACCAATCTGAAGTCAAAGTTGGAGATAAGCTGGAGGAAAGGTTTGAGATGGCAGAGAAGCTGGGCAATTCGTGTTGACACCATGAGTGGTTTTGGCTTTTATATCATTATTGCGCGTGTGGTGCGTGGCGCGAAAAGGGCAAGAGGGCACTAAGAAATAAGGCGGCGTTCTTCGTTGCCGGAGAATGACGATGAGAAATCCTTAGATCGTAGAAGAAGCGCTGATAGCTGACGTGCGTCGTCACTAATATTAATACAAGTGCCTTCTATGTTATTTCGGCTTCTTTTCTGTTGTAAGTTCAAGACCATCTACAGCATTCTACGTAAAAAGAAGTCGTATAAAAGACAAATACTTAAAACTGCCAGTTGACATCATGATTGGAACAGTCATCCGAACCCCAGGCTTTTATCAACCCGAACGTCGGCGACGTAGGCGTTCACCTGGCTTCCCAATCTGTGGATGGTCCAAGCACTGGGTTATTTCACTGCATGAAACTCGTTTGGAAACTGAGCCAAGATCCCAGTCTGGCAACACCTTTTTTCCTTCATCATTCTCCTCATCTCGTCCATCTCTCACAAAAACGATCCAGCAAAACCCTCAAGCACACCACAGCTAAGTCTCTCTGCCACCTACCCCTCACTTCGTTGACAATGAAGAAATCCGACCGAGAACGCCGCACTGATGCCAGCACCTGCAAGATGATGCCTGCAGGCTTCGTCCCCGGTCCCTACGAGATCTTGATTGGACGTGGTCGTCGCTGCACGAACCACTGGGGAAACCAGCGCTTTCGCCACATGATCGAAACGGAACTCGAAGGATACGCTGCTGCGGAATGCAAGCGACACAAGTCGTCCATCATTGGCCGCGTCTTGGCGGACATCAAGAAGCACAGCCCCAACAAGGGCTTCATCAAGAAGGATGTCGCCTCTGGACGCTGGCTGGCTTTTACGGATGCCGCTTCTCGCGTGGCTATTGCCCAAGCCTTCCGTGACGCACTCGACGACACTTACAAGAGCAGCAAGCACTCCAAGCAGGTCAAGAGGAGGATGGATAAGAACGTTGGCATGCCAACCTCGGTTCCTTTCAAGTTCGCACCCCAGTCTCAGTCTCAGGAGCAACAAATGCCTCCGCTCTTTAGCGGAAGCATTAGTTTCGCCAAGAACGATGACTGCAAGATGATGGACACTTCCATGATGGATGATGTGTCCATGAGATCCTCCTCTCTTCGATCATCCGTATCATCCGAGAAGCCAGAGGACTTCAACTTTGATCCTTTGCCCATCCAGAGCAGCAGCAACAACGGAGCCCAAGATCTCTCATCCGTTGGCAACGACGAGTTCGCGGCTCTCTTCAACGCCTTTGCTCGCAACGATGTGGACATGGGAGACAATCCCTACGAGCCCTTTCCTCTGGCAAATGCCTCCGTTTCCTCCATCTCGGGAGATCTCTTGGCCACTCCTCCCATGTCGCCAGTTCCCGCCAGGAGAGCGGTTCGACGTCCCGCAGTGATGCCCTTCAAGAGCTCCAGCGCCAACGGCGGTAAGCCCTTTGGCAACACTCCCTACCGCGATGTTCGTGCCGCAATGAGTGCTTAAAAGCTGCCTAAACGAAGGCTACATTTTTTGCTGGGCTACACGCATTAGGTACAATCGTGCACAATTCCACTTCTTAACTTCCTTACATAGCTATGAGTTTTATTGCCAAACAATGCTGCACCTGGTTGTAAATAGAACGTTGCACCGGTAGTGTCTAAGCTCGCAGGGCGTGGTCACTTGGCTGCTATGGTACAACAAACGACAGGCAAAGAAGGCCACCGAAATCAAGCAGCACAACATTGTCAGCTTGTGACCGACGCGGGTGCCATTCAACAGAGGCACCGACCTCCGGCCAGAGGGTCACCAGTGCCAGGGACTGACCTCTGCTGATGTCAATAGTCGCCACCACCACGACAACGAAAAGGCCTTGCTTTGGGCAAGTTGTTGATGTTTTGGAAGATTACTCGTATTGTCTGCGGTTGTTTGGGACCAAAATGGTCCCCGAAGACTTCGGTAGAAGGGTCTGAGTGGTTGGAATTGGAGTCTGGTGTGGCAGTGGAGCTGTGGTTGGAGGAGGGGGTTGTAGGAGGAGTCTGATGTGCTGGTGGAGGAGGACGAGCTGAGCCTCGGGTCCGTTGCTGTCTGTGGGATTCGGCCGGCATCTGTGATTATGGGCCAGCCCAAGGGAAGCAACGAAGGCATACACTGTGCACCTCTACCGGTACCGGTATGGCTGCGTGTCCAAGAGAAACCGACAAGCACCGCTGGGTCTCAACGCCGTCCAGTGCCTAAGAGCTCTACCAGCCATGCACCCATTCAATGCCTAACATTGTTACTCTAGAACTCTACAGGATCATACTAATTGCTCATGCACTCCACCGATACATGTAGTGCACTCAACTCCGTACGGTACCGTCGATCACATAGCTCATATGCTTCCTTCCGGACTGTGCACAATTTCTTCTCCTTCAAAAGCAGCCCGCCCTGGCACCTACATTCTTCGAGCCTCGTCTTGCTTGGAAATGCCTGCCTCGGGGTCATCAGGCATAACATACTCTTCTGCTTCGGCTATGTCCTCTTTTTGGTCCTTTGCGGCCGCGATTTCCTCGTCCATCCCAGGCACTTGTGGATTGTATTCTTCCGCAACCTCCAAATCGTCGGCTGAGCCAGTAACGCTCGCATCCTTTCCTTCTTTCTTTTTCTTCTTGTGAATGTGGTGGGCCGTGTATCCGCCTGCTGCCAACAAGACAAACGATGCCGCCAAGAGACAACCACCAATCACAGGACGATAGACAAGCCAGGACACGGCCACTACAAACGACCAGCAGCAACAGCCAATCAGGGAACTGACCGCCCACAGCGCATACCCAATCAAGTCTCCAATCCACGGACCCACCACAGGGATGATATCGGGCACAGTGGTGAGCGGTGCGGTGACCATAACAAGCCCAACGATGCACAGGACGAGAGACAAGAATCTGAGGATCCAAGTGGTCGCCACCCGTTCGGCTTCCTTTTGGTTAAGCATATCTTCAGCTGTCAATGAGCCTTCCCAAACATCCAGGAAGCCATAATCTTCATCGTAGCTTGGTTCCCAGAGAACGAACGTATCGCCTCTTTGCTGGGCCAGAATGGAAACGGTGTCCGCTTGGTAGATGGTGTAGCTCCTCGCCATCCAGTCTTGACCATCCTTTTCCCAAACCATTTTGTTGATTTTGAGGGTGGCATTACCAGGGGCACAAGAAATGGTGCTATCACGGCAAGCAGGAGTCAGCACAGAGGCGATTCCCAACCCAGGAATCTTGCTGTCGGGTATGGTGTAGTCGCCGGCTTTTACACCCCGCGATTGATCCACCGTCTCCGTTCCTAGTTCGTACCCAGAGCCCGACCACCAAGATTCATCGTAGGGGTCATAGTTGGTGCAATCTCCACAATCTCCCTTGAAACGGCTTGCGTTTTTGGGCCTCTGGGTGCTCCAGCTTTGGTGGTGGTCGTAGTAGGTTGTTCTCGTCGTGGATCCGCTCGATGTTTTCCTTGTCCTGGTGCGCTCTGTTTCCGTCCATTGATACACTTCCATGTAGGATTCGAGTGAGAGACCCGCGCGTTGTTCTATGGAGACGCCTTGCAGTACAGGGTCGTTGTTTCCCAAAACTTGAAAGTTTGATACCGGACATGTTACATGAACGAGTTTGCCTTCGAGAGCGACATTAATAGGAGAGCAAGCTGCTGTTGTCACAATGTCACGAGCCTCATTAATGGCCTTCATCGTGGCCACATTGCGATATTCATTCCAAGCCGACAAGCTCAGAGCACCGAAAAACAGCAGAAATCCCATTCCCATGGCACCGCAGGAATTCTTGAGCTTTTGTCTGTAACTGATGTGCTCAATGTGGACGTTGGGATCCCCGAATCCAAAGGTGCGGCTCATGGCCCTCGTCAAGCCGCCTCCTACTCCAGCTTCTGTCTCTTCCATGTTCTCTTCTGTACTGAGTAGTTGTTTTACAATCGTTGAATTGTGAATTGTGAATTAGAATTGTGATCAATGAGGTACTATCGTACCGTACAGTCGTATGCTTCCGTATCTTTTTCACTGTATCTTTTTGCTGGAATATCCACGACACAGGGGTTCACTTTTACTTTGGCTGCGTCTGAACGTTAATTAGAATGTCCCCTTTGGTACCGGTGCTCGGTGATACCTGGTACGGTACCGCTACCTGATACCTGGCCACATCGGGAATCGGGAACCGATACTTGTACTACTAGTACTGTAGCGGTAACCAATATCCATCGCCACTTTCACCAAGTTGGTTGGGCTTTCGTTTGCCACACACCATGCAATAGCTCCAACGGCACCGAGCAGCCAGCACACACACGCAAGTGAAGAAGGCAGTTTGTTTGAATGCTGGAGCTATTTGCAATTAATTTTAAACGCATACTCGGTACCGGAATGAGTCGGCCAAGTCGAACAGCTGTGCAAGACAGCAACTATGGCTGGAAACAGACTCATGCAATCGTGGCCAGTCCCCCTTGCGTCAGCTACGGTACCGTGTGTTGGGAACAAACATGCCTTTCCTTCCTATCGTTTTCCCAGCGTCATGGGGACTCCCCCCTTGGGAACCTGGACAAATCCATCGCGATGCGGTTCCAAGACGTAATCGTCAGGTGCTTTTAGAGTGACGAGTGGCAACAAGGTGGACAATATGGTGATCATTTCTTGCATGGCAAATCGTTGTCCCGGACACGCCCTGGCACCGGCCGAAAAGGGGATCCATGCCTTTGCATTCACGTCGGAACGTGGTTGCCACTCGCTAGCGTTGTTACGAGTGACCCACCGCTCGGGTCGAAACTCGTTGGGATGATCAAAGTGTTTGGGATCGCGCTGAATGATCCATATGGGGACATAGAGGTATGTCCCCTTGGGGACGTGGATCTTGTCCTTGTCGTCCAGTGTTCCTCCTGGAATGGCCGGTAATTCAAAATCTCGTTCAGCAGTGCGGGTTGTGGAAATGGCCGGTGGATAGAGACGTAGCGTTTCCTTGACGACAGCTTCCAAGTACACGAATGGTGTATCAATGGTGGTGGAAGTGTGTGGGTTATTGTTGTCGTCGTTGTCGTTTTTTTGTACCTGCTTTATTTCTTCCAAACACTTGTCGAGAACCTCTGGATGTTGCGACAATTGATGCAATGTATAAGACATGGTAACGGAGGAAGTTTCATATCCTGCAAAGAGCAGTCCAAGAATACTCTGAGCAATGATGAGTGCCAACTCTTGTTCGTTATGATTTGCGTCATTGCCATCCACTTCGGTGGAAAAATGTTCCAGAAATCCCGACAACAAATCTGCCGGCACGTCCTTGTCTTGTTGCTTCATCAATTCTTGTCGTTTTCGAATAATATCGAGTAAAAAGTTGAGAACCTTTTCTTTTTCGTGTGCGTACGTTTGGTTGGCCGCCGTGGGCAAAGAGTACACGTGGGACGTTGGTACCAAGACATCCTTGGACATGCGTCTCATGAGATCCGTGGTGAGAGCCTCAAAGGCAGGTCCAATGGCGACACTACCAGTATTGTTGTTGTCATTGTCATTTTGCTTTTGCATCAATTGCTGACAAGTTTTAAAATCAACGTGAAAAGCAGCTTGACCAAAGCAATCCATGGTGAGTGCTTTCATGAGTGGCACCAAATCGGGACACTCCAAACTCGTTGTTGTGTCGTTCGCAAACAACAATTGCTTGACAAATCGCTGTGTGGTTTCCGTAAATGCCCGTTCGTGATGTTGGACGACGGCCGTGGAATGCAATGCCTTGGTGATGCGACTGCGTTGTTGCTTCCATTCCTTGCCATTCGCCAGACCAACAGTGTTCTTGCCAAAGAGTTGTTCAAAATGAGTTCGCATCAGTGGGAAGGCATTTCGATGCGCACTCGCTTTGAGCAAGTGTTGGACATCGTCGCAATGGGTGACACTCAAACTCGGCGTCGTGGGACCCATGTAAAACGTACATCGTCCATGGTCGTCCGCGTGCGCCACGGTCCAATTGTGAAGAGCTTGGCGAAAGTCGGGTTCTTGCAGCAAATGTAAATGGCCGCCCCACAAAGTGCCGCCTGGAATGACGGGAATTCCAGCAATGGGAGACTTCTTCTCGGGAAGCAGCGACGAGAGGACCATGGTGACAGCTATCTCATTACAAAGTAGTATACTGTAGTAGACAACAAGCAACCAAAAGAAGAAGCATTGCGATGGCAAGTGGAAGACAAAGAAACATTGAGTCAGTTAGTCACGAATTGAGTCAGGACTGGATCTTTCAAAGATCGCAGACGGAGGCTTCATTAATTTTCCCCCCTTCAAAGGTGCCTCACCATCACTCATTCAACGACAACCACAATGGGATATTGCCGTCGCACTGCATCATGGTTGGCGACAGCCATGGTCGCCGCAGCCCTTGTCCTATGCTCTGCATTAGTACCGGTACAGGGGTTTCTGGTTGAACCGAATTGTTCTCCTTGCAACAAGAAGCAGTCTTTGATCGGAACATCGAAACCACTTCCACTGACGTCTTTACACGCATTAGCATTAGTCAACGATAACGATAATACCATTGCTACCATCACCACACCCGATCATTCTCAAACGATTACTTTGATTGGTACCGCTCATTTGTCACAGAAGAGCAACGAGCAAGTACAACAAGTCATTCAACAACTACAACCACAATGTGTCATGGTCGAGCTGGATCCCGATCGGCTGGTTCGAATTGGGATTGACAATCCCGACACGGACATTTCCATTCCTCGTATTGTCACGGCACAAGATATCGTGTTGCAAGAAAATGACAACGATATCAACAGCAACAACCCCTTGACAGGATGGATTCAAAATGCCATTGCCGACGCCTTTTCCAAAGTGGCGCGTGGCCTCCTCACGGACATGTACAATGACATGAGCGACTCCATGTCGTCAACAGAAGACAAAGTCATTCCGGGAGGAGAATTCTTGGCCGCCATTCGAGCGGCCGAACAATGTCCGTCGTGTCATACACTCGTCTTGGGCGATCGATCGTCCACCGTCACCATCAAACGAGCGGCGCTCTTGGCGTTGCAATCGGGCAATCCACTCGCCGTCTTGTCCAAATTGGAACAAGCCAATGCGCAAGAAATGAAACAACTCGAAGTGCAAGTTCGCGAACAACTACAGGCGGATGATAATAAAGATGATGCTGCTGCTTTCCAAGTGGCCATGATGGAAGCCTTGAAAGCCGATGACACGCTTCGGGATCGATTGTTTCAACGCCTCGAACGGGATGTGCCCGAATTTACACAGGCGTTTCTCAAAGAACGAGATTGGATCATGGCCGAATCTATTCGAAGAGAACTGACAGCATCATCCACAACAACAACAACAACAGCCATTGTGGGAGTCGTAGGATTGGCACATGTGCCGGGGATGGTACAGGTGTTGCAAGACATCATGACGGATGCCAGCCTTGTGGGGGAGACTGTTACCACCACCACTACAGACGAACCAGCCACACAACAATAGTCTAATAGCTGCTTCTGAACGGAACCAGCCAGCACATTGACTCAGACTACGGTACGATACGGTTGGATGCTACCGGTATGTTTGGCCAGTCTCCTGGCGAACCAGACCAGCCATGGCATCTGTTACAGCTCCCCGAATAGGATCCTGCTCCGCTAATTTGGAGGACATTACGTAGTTCTAGTACGGTAGTGAGTCTAAGCCAAGTCTGACTCCGGCTTTCGCAGCAAATAATCCAATACTCTAGCTAGCCCACCACAACCATTTCTATGGCTCTGCTGGACACAGTAAAGAGCAATCTATCTGCCCTTGCAGAGTTTAGTTTGGATTGTGATAGGAATCCATGTCCCATTTACCGGTACACTTGCTGAGATCCCAAGAATTGCTTCTACTCCCAAAGGTGCATATCCACATGCAACCCGGAAATTGGGCAATGGCGACTGACAACGACTGCGAATGTCGTTCAACATTTCCATGAGCCAATGTCACTGTTCTCACGATATGGTCACAGCACTCTCAACAAGCAAAAGGATCCTAGAAAAAATCGTCGCTGTGCTCTACAAGCAGTGTGGGTAGCAGATGGCAAACGTAGCAAGTGGAGATATCAAGCGAGGCCACAGTTCAAAGCAAAGCGTGGGGTATGGTAGCATCCCTCAATCTAGCTTGAATGATTTTTCAGTCTCAGCTCGTTTTGTGAGGTAGCTTTGACACTTTCGCATCAGCCCTTCAAAGGCTGCTTCTGGGTCAGGTTGTAGGAAGTAGTTATCAAGCCGTTCTGGAAATTCTGTGGCATCTTGGTTTTGAAATCCAAATATAATGGCATCATATTCCTCTTTGGGTAAGAACGGCTTCATGAGGGAACCGATGACAAGCATAATAGGAGACGCTCTTAGGATTTTCATGGATTTTCTTCGATGTGGTAGATTGTGGAGAAGTTCATCTATGCAGCGTTGGTCAACTTTACTGGATAAATTGTTCCAGCCGATACCGTCACATTCCAAAATTTGTCGATATCCCTCTCGGACACTCTTGAGGTCAGGTTGCATGCAGCGAATCATGTAGTATATACCGCCTATAGCGTAGCGAAAGTTCTTGGGGCTCTTGAGGAAAGAAAGAGGGTTATTCTTGGTCAAATCAAGAACCACAACGTGTGATCCGTTGTCGCTATCTCCATCAGTACAAGGGTCAATGGACAAGAGCATGCCTGGACAAAGCTCTTGAAATGTTCTCAGAACTTGTATACCATCTTCCACAGTGTCGCTGATGTTGTAATCCATCCGAAAAGCCTGCATACACTCGGCTCGCTCGAGAGACCGTTCAAGGTCTCCTTGGTCAACGATGGCATAACTTGCAATCTCCATGTCACTTATAGCTCTTGCCAGCACCTCATCCTCTTCTTCCAAGGCCCGTTTTATCTTGAGAGCATATTCTCTCTCTTGGTCGGTGAGTTTCATTGTTGGGTTCTCAAACTCAGTCAGTTTCCGCTTGCGCCTGCTGTCGTCAACAGCATGCAATACATCGGCTCTTGCTTCTGATCTCATCCTTCAGCCAGTCTGCTGTATATCGGTATTGGTGGCACAAAAATGAGTGCAGCGGCCTCACGAGGTTTGTATAACTCCAGAACATGTACTGTAATAAAGAACGAAGGTGGATAGGTGGTTACTACGCGGTCAGATGGGCTACCGTATGCATGCGAATGGACGGAGGTGACGAGTGCAAGCCAACAAGTCACGCTGTTGGTACAGTACATGTACTAGCTAGCTACGGCATCGTAGTACAGTAGCTGGGAGAGCTGCTGGGAGGTATCATACGGGTAGGGTATGTGCGGTGGAATGACATCTATTCGTGAACGCCGCACAAGCGAACTTTTCGCAAAACACTGGTACGGTAGAAGCCAGCTCCAGCTGTGAAATGACTCTTCGTAGAAAGTACTTTTCGCTCTTGGCGTGCTGGAATGCGGAGCAAAAGCACCAACCGTTCTCCACAAGCAGGATCCAGGATCACGGCACAGTTGCTTGCCAACTGGAGAAGGATGAAGGGGAGGTCAATAGATCACTAATGAACAACTCCATGGACCCACAGCAGTGACCCACAGCAGTGACAATTGAAAGCTGTTGCTTATTAATTGTTTTTGAACACTAAATGCATGTGTATCTTTTCCATGCTGCTTCTACTGTACTTGCTTCTCCTCCCAAAGGTGCATATCCACATGCAACCCGGAAATGGGGCAATGGCAACTGATGGACTGCAAATGTCGTTCAACCATTTCAGGAGCCAATGCCACTGTTGTCACAATATGATGAATAGTTCAAGAGAGAAGAGCACCCTCAACTAGCCAGAGCCTGCAGAAGTCACCAAGCGAACCGTGTAATATATACTGCCAATTTTGTAGCGAAAGTTCTTGGGGCTTTTAAGGAAAGCAAGAGGGTTGATCTTGGTCAAATCAATAACCACAACGTGTGATCCCTTGTTGCTATCTCCATCAGAACAAGGGTCAATAGACAAGCCTGAGAGCATGCCTGGACAAAGCTCTCGAAATCTTCTCAAAACTTGTATGCCCTCGTCCACAGTGTGGCTATTGTTGACTACAAGAAGCCAGCAACCTTTGTTAAATGATCGACTGTTCAATCGCAACCTGCCGTTTTTTGGATCATGATGGACAGTGCAAGCGGAGCAGAAGCACCATCGTTTCTGGACGAGCTAACTGCTTGCCAAGTGCACCAGGGATGGAGGGGAGGCAAATATAGAACGCTATAAAGCACACGTCATGGACCCATGGCAATTGAACCTTGTTGCTTAGTTTGAACACTACTACTAGCTAGATGACATGTGTATCTTTTCTATAGGTTTCACGCCACTTCTTGTTGGCGGGCAGAATGGTACAGAGTGTGTTCACATTCCCGGCAAAGTTGTACAGAGATACTGCGTCCTCTCGACTGGGCTACGGTAGCCAACGAGGTTTGAGTTCCAATTTTATCAACGACTCATTGTTTGATTGCGATTGAGTGTTGCAGCTGATTACTCCATCGTCCAGTACTGTACGTACTGGATCTCATCTATTTTGACTCGGTTGCAGCAGCGATTTGATCCTTCAACTGGAGCAACTTATCCACGGCTTGCACGACTTTTGGGTCCTTATTGCCCAGTCCTTTCTCTTCTTTGAGCTGACGAATAA